TTCCGGAAAAATTAAATACTGAAAAAATAAATATTGAAAAGAACTAAGCCCAAAAAAAGTGGGTTTTTAATTTTGCTTACTCAAAGCATGTCTTAAAAACCAAAACTTGCGAAGAAAAATAATGCCTAACTTTTGGTGTCTGCTAATTTTACAGTTTACTTTTGGTAAGCGTACTTAAAATATTTGGTCAACTGTTTCCGCAATTTTTGAACATTCGCGTGCGAAATAAACAATCCAGCTTTTGTGCCAATAAAAGTTTAGATATCTTGGAAGAATAAATGTGTAAAATGCGTAAACCCTACGATTAGTTTCGAAAGTAAGTTAAGAAGATGAAGTTCTTTATCGTTCTCATGCTTATGTGTCGAAACTCCAACCATAACTGACTCAAGTGCTTCTACAACAACTGAATTATCTGCCACAACGGAAGCACTAAGTGGAGAAGAAATTTCTGGACATTGTGACAAAAATAGAGCCAAGAAATTATATATCTTTTATTATTTAAGAAATAAATTTTTTGATACCAACTTGATATTACCTAATTGCAATTATAATTATTCTAAGATCATTTCCCAGCATAGCAACTCAATTTCTGTAGTTTTAGAAACGCATTTCTTCGTCGCATTCCCCAAGGGAGTGTAGTTTTGGACTTGTGCCCATATAGAGTAAGTTCGTTTAGCTCAGAATTTCCCTATATGGAAATAAACTTCTCGAATCGAGCCAAAAACGGCGTCGAAGCGAAGGCGAATACGTGAGGCGCCACTTGCATCGCTGGGGAACCGCATGAATCAGCGTCGCAGTGCGCCGCCAATGAAATGCTAAATAAATTTTCACTTCCATTTTAATTAATTTGAATTTATTTGAAACTAAAATTACACCCAACATTTACACACCAAAGGCGCAAGTGAGCAAAATTGGCTCGCCTATTTGACTAAAAATAAATTGACAAATATTTTGTTTTTATGAAAAGGTAATGAAAACCACATGTCCTCCATTTTCGTCGTAAATGTATCGTAAACATAAACCAGCAATGGAAATTCGTGTGGGTGAATCGAATCAACGATCGTCGATCAGATAAGGGCCATTCCCTATACCAAATACACTCACTTTCCGGGACGCCATATCGATGGTTTCTGTTGATGGGAATTGCTGTTGAATGATCTCAAGTCGTAATACTTCAGTGGGTGCTTAATACTGATCACTTGATTGCCTGCTAATTACACAATGCCTGGCGGGGCGAGCACGTTCGCTTTTTTTTTTTCAAAAACACAACACAAACAATGTGGGGAGCTCTCCCTTTTTTCGTAAACAAATTTTAGAATTTTTTTCTTTCGTTTTGAAATTATTTGCACGAGCTGCGCGCGTTGCTTTCAGATTCTTTGGTACTCGTACTCGTACTGGCCGCGACAATTTCTCAACTCGACTGAGTTGTGTGCGCCTCCTTGCTCTAAGTTTTTATGCAGCCAGATGCGCGCAGCTTATTTCTCAATTTCTTTATTATTATTTTCTCAGATAAATCATACAGCAGGGGATGGCTATATAGACTTAACATAACTCCTTAAAAATGCAGAACACCGAAGAAATCGTAGCTTAAGTTAACTAACAACAAACTTGAAATAAAATTAAACCATAAAGAAGTTTTGTTAGATGCTCTTAAATATTCTTCGAAATTGTCTATCATGTTTTTAAATTCTTATGTTTTTTATTTATATCGGTATATACATTTTTTATTGAATTAAAAAATAAACTCTTATCTTGTTTATAAATTACCACCCCCGAGTGTGCAACGTCTTCAATACATAATTTGTTCAATATTTATTTCGCTTCATGTTTTGTGTTGTGTTTTTGGTATTTCGAGTGACGTTGACTTAAAGTCGACGGCGACGCAGACGTCGACTGCACTCTTGACTCTGTTTGGCAGGTTTTTGGCGACGCCACTATATGGCCCCCCGATTGCCACCCACCGATTTCCGCCGCACACCCCCTGTAACTCATCGCAAATGTGATTTTCGACGCGCAGCTGATTTTGTTGTTATTCTATTCATAGAACTGGTTGTGGTCTCTTCTGTGTGTTTCTTTTTAGTCGGTCGTTTCTGTTGCTGGCCACAATTGAAAGTGCCTCCTGCAAAAAATGATTCGCTTTTGGCCATCACTGGCGGTCGCCCCAAGTACATTCCGCATTCCGAATTCCCCCGCCAGTTGACTCACGAGTCGCCAATAAAATAAGAAAAAATCTTTGAATCTTAGAGCCCATAGATCTCTTAAATCAAAAGCGTATGTTTGTGCGGCTTGTTTAGTCTTAGCTGATGACTAACTTACGCCGGCCAAATCAGCTGTCATAAATTCCTAGATTTTATTTATCTCGGGTCGAAAGGCTCCCGATGTTTATGTACGTTTGTAGATAAAACGCAGCAAGAGCACGCTAAATGTATCATAAATTATAGTTTGACTTCGTGATTTCACAGCTCTTAAATGAATATTAAATTAAGATTTGTAAAAGGATTGCAGAGCAATAGCTTTTAATCAGGTTAAACATGATATTATATTTGCATGAAAACCCCAAGAATAAACAAACCGAAGAAAATATATGATTACATTTACAAAAGTATTTTAACACAAAAATTATCATATATTTTTTTAAATTACCCATTCCTATGAGTAATAAAAACAAAAAATAAAAACCATGATAATAAAGTGTACGATTGGTTTTTCAAACGAACATGAAAATATGTACAAAGTTTAATAAAACTATAAACAATCTGAAAACCTCAATATTTACATGTTTTTAATGAAAATTAAAAATATTATACTACACACAAGATATTTAATATTTTTTTTTTTAATAAATTTATTAGTAGGTTCACATGGAACAGAAACTCCTATATTTAAAGATATATGTACGTGTATTACAGTACTAAATCCATGGTCAGCTGATTCACCTAAACTCTCTACTAAAAATTCCTCCATTTTAATTAAGCAATTCATTGTTGGTCGTGACGCGAAGCGCGTGTACTCTTAAACAAATTTTATTTGTATTGGTTATCATTATTCATAGCATGTGAATTTATCCAACAGCTGCTTCGGCTGTTAATATTTTATGTTGCTCATACGCCCCGTTGCCAACAAGTAATTTCACGTGCCAGCGCTTTATTTTGCTTTCCCAGTTCTTCTCCCTCTACTTAGATATGTTTTCCGAAAATAAATGAAATACAATTAACAATAGCTCAGCGGGAACCGAAGAGAAATTCACAGCAACCAGAAAATGGAATTGGTGCTAAGTTTGTTCAATATTTTCAAACTTTTAAGCAACAGCTGTGCATTATTTGGGCAATATAATATTCAAAATAAATATTTATTAGAGTACTATGCTAATTAATTTTTAAAGTTATTAAATGCCAACCTGTTTTATTGATACAGTTTGTTATACAATCGAAAGCAAACAAGATGGCAAGTATAAAATTGACAAAAACGCATTGGCGATTTATCAGTTTCTTTTGAAATCTTAAGAGATGAGGTTCCTGACTATCATTGCGATCCTGTGTACCTTGGCAGTTTGTGCCTTTTCCCAGGAAGAAAGTAGTACCATAAATTGGAACCCAGACTCTACTACTCAAAACTGGTGGGATACTACGACTGCTGCACCTGCAAAACCTCCCTGTGATGACAAGATCCAAGGACCCTGTGGAAAGCTCATAAAGGGTGCACAAAAACTGTATTTCTTCTATTGAAATCGCCTAAAATCTGTCACCCTACAACGGCAATAAATAATTTGGAAAACTAGTTGCTTAATTTTCCCTTCAGGTATACCCCCCAAAAAATTCTCAAGGTGCGCCGGAGCGTAGAAACGTGGCTAAAATAAGATCAGGGGCGGGGGGTTAACATCTGGCGCCCGACAGATAAATGCACTTTACGTTCTCACATCTGAACATTTAATGGCTCTTTCGCTGGGATCCAGCAAAAGAGGCCTTTCACGGCAGAATATATCACAAAATGGCAACGCCTTGTACGCAATATTTCAAACCGAAATTCACATAACATGAAATACTCAGAATCTATTATATTCTTGCATATATTTATTTAATATGTTTAGTTGGCCGTATATTTTTCGGCCGTATTATTCATCACTCTTTGTAGATATGTCGTAGATTTTTCACCGCGTATTTGCCTTTATTGGAGACATTATTTCACATACTTTGGCATTTTCACTGGTTTTACAACAATTTCCCCGCGATTATGCACAAGTGGCGAAATTTCACTTGCTATATATTCTGGTATATATAGAATTATGAGCGACAGACGCGCCTACATATAGTCCACGAATTGCGTATACGCCGCGTATTCCAAAAGAAATTTCGAGATCCGCTCCGCACACGTCCAAGTCAATGCAGCAACTGAAAATCTTTTTGAAAATGCCAAGATACAACCCACAACTGAGATGTTTTCCTGCTTGTTTTTTTTTTGTGTTTTTTTTTTCTTGGTTTTTCAGTAGCTGAATGGCGAGCGGCGAAAGAAATATTTTCAGAATTTCCATGCGCCGTGAGCGATTTCTGTCTGCATTATTCTCACAACTGAAAACATGACTAAGATCCCTGCTGTCTAGCTCTACCTGCTTCTAATTAGATCAGCGAGACACGTGTGGCCAGTGCGACACTTCCCTGTCTCCGACATAAATCAAAAAGTTCTCAAAATCACAAATCAGAAAACGCGGGAGGATGAATCAGTCGAACATACCGACTGTCTGCCTATGAAGCCCTCTGGCTTACTGCCAAGAATTTAATTTGCCTCCAGGAGTATTCAAATATCCACAGTTAATATTTACTCAAACAACGGATCGTGTTATAAAAATATTTGAAAAAGAAAAAATGTGGTTTCTGAATGGTTTTGAAACCATTGAATTTGAATTTAATGAACGTAATTAAATATATGTATATATTTTTTATAGAATTGTGGCAGGGGATGCCTAATATATAAAATATTCCTACACTTACACAACTTTTACCGTAAATGCAAACACTTAGAGATTATTTATTGGTTTTTCAGAATTATTGCTTAGGCATTTCACATATTGTCACAAACATTTATGGTTAAAATTATTTGTTTAACCAATAATTATCTGCTGATTGACTTGCTGACATTTGCCATTGCCACTCATCGTTTGCCGCATCCAGTCGCGGTAGTACATTATGTTCATAAATATATCCGGCACGCCTTGAGCACAGGGTACGAAAAAGTTGAGAATACCGATCAGAGTGCCCTGGTAGACCAAAGGACCTCCGGAATCTCCGTGACAGGCTCCAATATTGGCCTGCCGATAGGCACAAATGTGGCCAGGACCCAGTTCCAAGTCCTCGTAGGCGGTGAGCAAGGATTCACAAGCCGGACTACTGAGATGCTGTTGCTGAACTTTCTGCAACTGGGATGGCAAACTTCCTCCCGACGATTGATATCCCCATCCCGTAAAGAGCAGTTCAGAGGTTCCTTGGGGAAACGTGGTAGTTGGTAGGTTCACCGTCTGAGTTAAGGCATCAAAACTAATGCTCTCGTTCAAGTACAACAATCCAATATCATTGTGGTACTTGGGAGTATCGTAGTTGCAGTGCAGGTAAATAGATTCCGGATAGTAGAGAGCTCCTGGTTGTGCATAACGAATTGTTCCTGTCGCCACTTGAAGTCTGCTGGTTGGATAACCTTTGACACATTGCCCTGCAGTCAGAATCCAGCGATCCGAGATGATGGCACCTCCGCACAAGTGGCTACCCGAAAGGGTTTGCAGGGAAACCTGGTAGGGGGCATCTCCTTCGGCGGCATTTTGACCACCCACAATGAAGTGCTCCGAAGCCAAGAGTTCACCAATCAATAATGAAGCCAAGAAAATATGAAGAAGAAACCGTGCAAACGCCATGGCTGAAATGCAATCGCAGACTGAACTAGTTTGCTTTCACCCTTTTGCGATTTTGATTGAGCGATCGGAATGTCCAAACGGCCTGTCCAAAGTTTCCACCAATCGCGCCATAAACTGATTTTTTTTTATCTGATTCCGATAAATGGTCAAGAAGGCGGTTCCCTACCATAAGTCGGTAAATTCATTAGCTGACCAGGTCTAGAACCAAGATGTCGGCTGTGTTTTTGCTGGTTTTACTGGGACTTGGAGCATTCTCCACCACCTCAGCCATACGAATCAAAGGGAACTCGACGGAGAAGGGTTTTTACAAGGATCAAAGGATCATCGGAGGTCAGGTGGCTGAGGATGGCTTCGCTCCCTATCAGATATCCTTGCAAGGCATTTCCGGCGCTCATTCCTGTGGCGGTGCTATAATCTCCGAGAAATTCGTCCTGACAGCTGCTCATTGCGTGGAAAATGCCAACATCCAATGGCTGGTGGTGGTCACCGGTACAAATAAGTACAATCGACCTGGAGGCAGGTACTTTCTAGAAGCCATCCACATTCACTGCAACTACGATAATCCCGAGCTCCACAATGACATCGCTCTGCTGCAGCTGATTGAGCCAATTGTGTGGGATGAACTCACGCAACCGATTCCATTGCCATTGGTACCAATGCAAGCAGGTGATGAGGTGATCCTCACTGGCTGGGGATCCACGGTCCTCTGGGGAACCACTCCCATCGATCTGCAGGTTCTCTATCTTCAGTACGTTCCCCATCGGGAGTGCAAGGCTCTTCTGAGCAACGATGACGACTGTGATGTGGGCCACATCTGCACCTTTTCGCGACTGGGAGAAGGTGCCTGCCACGGAGACTCCGGTGGACCGCTGATCAGCAATGGCTACCTCGTCGGTTTGGTCAACTGGGGATGGCCCTGCGCCACTGGAGTTCCGGTAAGTGATTGAGTAAATTATACCCAACTGCCAAGTTTCAGTTTTAAACAACTCCCGTCAAAGTAAGCTTATTTAATAAACTTTTTTAAAAAAGTTTTATAACTTTTTTGGCCCTTGTTCATAAACCTTGCTTCGTAGGTGCTTACTGAAGGGAAGTTTAAAATTGAATTATTATGGAACCTTAATTGTTTTCAATAATGGAAATAAAGATTAGATAATAAAGCAACAAAAAATGATTGTTGATAGAGTTAAGTAATTTCTGCTAGTAGTCAAAAAATGAAGTTATATATTTTGATCTTTTGAGTTAGAGCAGAAACAACAAAATGCTATTGAAAATCTAATCGATTAAAAACTTTTCAGGACGTCCATGCCAGTGTATATTTCTATAGGGATTGGATACGCAATGTCATGAGTGGAAATACGAAATGCACAGGCTATGGCTCTAATTATTCCTAAGAGTTCCGTGTTCTGTGTGGCTATCGTTGTCCATAAAATAGCCCAGTTTATATGGCAACGATAAAATAGCCCTCGATAAGACCTGGCCAAATAATAAAGTTTTTGATAGCGATTGAAAGTGACTTTTGGTGTTCAGTACTTAGTCAAACCTCCGAGATGCAGCTGCTCAGTTTAAGCCTTTTGATCGTCCTGCTCTTGCAGCCCCAGAACTTCTGCCAGTCGAAAAGAATTGTGGGTCCCTATTCCACGATTCCAAGTGGCAGGATCAAGGGCGGTGAATTGGCGGAAGTGGAATTTGCTCCTTACCAGGTGTCCCTGCAACCCATTGTGGGTGTCAACAACTGTGGAGGAGCCATACTCAACGAGCGATGGGTCATAACCGCTGGACACTGCGTGGAGAACTATATTCCCGCTCTGGTGAACGTGATTACGGGTACCAACAAATACTTGGAACCAGGAGCTATTTACTACACGGAAGAGATCCACATGCACTGCATGTACGATCAGCCCTATATGCACAATGACATCGCCTTGATCAAGCTCACCCAGAACATCACCTTCAACGAGTTGACCCAACCCATTGATCTGCCCATTCGTCCACTGAGAGTCGGAGATGAGATCGTCCTCACGGGTTGGGGAGCCCACGAGGCTTACGGTGGTTCTGTGGAGGACCTGTACAAGTTGACCCTGGGATTCGTTCCCTTTAGCGAGTGCTACGATATTTTCAACCAGACCAGCAGCATGGGCGTGGGTCACATCTGTACCTTTTCGCAGGAAGGCGAGGGATCCTGTCACGGCGATTCCGGGGGTCCCCTGGTGAGCGATGGCCGTCTGGTGGGCGTGGTCAACTGGGGACGACCTTGCGGGGTCGGGTTTCCGGATGTGCAGGCCAATGTGTGGTACTACCTGGACTGGATTCGCAGCAAGATCAGCGGCAACGACAAGTGCTACTACTAAAAATACTAAGCAAAAAATTTTAACTAATTGAAATGGTTAAAAAACATAGAACAAAAATAAAAAAAATCTTAAGCGCAATATAAATGTTGTTTTTAAAAGGAGAAAAATGATAGGAATCTATCAAGATATTGGGACTAAAATTCTGTTAGTAAGGTATAATTGATTACATTGTAAAAATTCAATGACACAGATTTTTTAATTTACTCATTATGCTCTAACAATTCACATTAGCTAAACAACCTTCTCTGAAAGAAAAAACATATAATTCTTATTATTCAATTTTATTCAAACAATAACCAGTACAGTTTAAATCATTTTGCCATTCAATCAGTAACATGAATATTACCAACTCTTCCTTTTCCTGAGACATTATTCAAATTATCCCCTTATCTATGCACACTCTGTTGTAAACCACTTGATAACTTACTCGTAGTAAGGAAATCAGATAGCGAACTATCACAGACTGGGATAATTGCTGGCGTAACAGTGGCAGGAGCTGCAGGGTCCGGAGATCATGCCCCTGATCCATTCCCGGTAGTAGTACACATTGGCATGGCTGTCGGGAACGCCAATGGCGCAGGGATAACCCCAGTTAACCAAACCGTAGAGGATTCCATTCTGGGTCAAAGGACCTCCGGAGTCTCCGTGACAGGTTCCTTGTCCGCCGTCCGTCAAAGTGCAGACGTGACAGGGTCCGTTCGAAGGATCGTTGTTCATCATCTCCTGGCAAGTGGGATAATCCACGTGAGTGAGATACGCCTTCTGCAGGACATCGGGGGTATCGCCCCAGAGCACCGTGGATCCCCAACCCGTGAGCAGCAACTGGGTTCCATTGGCCAACGGAGCAGAGGGCAGTTGAGCCGGCTGGGTGTACTCATTGAACTTGATCGTATCGTTCAATCGGATCAAAGCAATATCATTGTGGTAAGAGGGACTATCGTAGTTGCAGTTTATCCAATGCTCCTCCACAAAGTACAGGGCATCCGGTTGGGCCCAACGAATCGTTCCCGTTGCCACTCGCAGGTAAGTGGGATTATAGCCATAAACACAATGGGCCGCAGTGAGAACATGACGTTCGTCGATGATGCAACCGCCACACATGTGATCACCATACATTCCTTGCAGCGAAATCTGGTACTTGGCCTCGCCCAATTCCGCATCCTCGCCGTTGATCACGCGATTCTGGAAGTTAACTCCTCTCGACTTCGATATCCATTCCAACTGCTTTTCGCTGAGTTCAGCTATGCGAATTGCACTGCTGGGATTGTTGCCACTCCAGACCAGGAGGATCACAAGGATCGCACCGCCAGAAAGTCGCATTCGAACCATTTTCGTGAGTGCCCGAGTTTCAAAGTGCCAATTAAACCTGCATGTGTGTCGTGATTTTCCTTTTATACTGGAACAAATCGCTGTTATATCGTAAGTCTTTCGGTTTTATCGTAAATCGGAATCGATGTTTCAGCGAGTTGTATCTTAGCCATAAAGTCTGGTGTCATAAAAAGATATAGGCATACACTGATTATGATTTTGTGACCGGGCAATCAATGTCAGCGTCGTCGAGGGATATGAATAAGACCTTTTAATGGTCATTCCCTGGACATTGGCATTAGCTATTATTAAGAGCCAGGGATGCAGTTCTTTTAAAAGATCAGATCATGACGGAAAAAAATCTAAGAACATTTTAATCTGAAATTTGTCACATAAAAAGTGTACTTTTGCTAGAAAGAGATTAGTAAAATACATTTGCAACGATTTTCCATCAAGTAATTTCGATACGTAATAAATTATTATTTCTATTTTAATTTTAGTTTAAATATTCTCTTTTTACTAATCTGAACATACTTCTTCTTATGTTATTGGCTTTTCCATTTAAAATTGGTCAGCCCTAGCAAGCAGACCTTTATCTGATGTCATAATGTGTTAGCAAACAGATCCATAAAATTATTGAATTCCCACCTAAAAGCAGTTAATGACCACATGAGTAATTGTATTCTTATCAGCCTTGTGTTGATCAATAAATATATATTTCACATTTTCATCCTAATACACATCATAACAATACTGATTAGGATCCATATATTTTGATCCCTTTTTTATGTAACACGATTTTTGCATCCCGTACGAGTTCTTCGGATCCAATCCTGGTAGTAAACTGTGTTGGCGTACCTGGAGTTAAGTAAAATGGATTAATTGGAATCGAATTAAGTAAAACTATACTTTGAACTTACATGTCTGGCATACCCACGCCGCAGGCTCTGCCCCAATTGACCAATCCCACCAGTTTGCCTTCCCACATCAAAGGACCTCCCGAATCCCCGGAACAGGCTCCTTCACCCTCCCGCGTAAAAGTGCAGATGTGACCGATGTCGATGCCATCGTGGTAGTCCCATCTCTCCCGGCACTCTTCGTGATCGATGATGGTCAGATTGATGGTCTGCAGATACTGAACCGTGGGATAACTACTTTCCGGAGCTCCCCAACCCGTCAAGGTGACAATAGAACCTGACGGAGGTTGCTGTCTACTCAACTCCACGATCTGAGTGCGATCATTGAACACAATCGACTCGTTCACATGAATCAAGGCTATATCGTTGTTGTAGACGTAGGGAACATCGTACAAACAGTGGACCAAAGCCTCATCCGGAAACAAAGTCTGTCCAGGATCGAGGCGATCGTTGGTACCCACAATAATCCGCAGATCTTCGATGCTGAAATCCAGTGCACAATGACCCGCCGTTAATATCCATTCTTCGTTCAAGATGACTCCGCTACAGATGTGGGTTCTCCAGGTGGTCTGGATGGATACCTGATAAGGTGCCACCCCGTCCTCCGCCTCCTGGCCACCCACAATTCGATTGTCGGACAGTTTACGATCCAAACGCTTGGCCAGAATGACGTCAATGGAAGTGCCCAGCAGAAGCAGCCAAATCAGAGACAAACGTACAGAAAAAACCATCACGATAAAAAAAAGAATAAAACTCCGGAGACGCGGGACAAAGCCGGACAGCGCAAATTAATAACCAGCAATGGAAAATTGTATGACCCAACTGGGCGTTTTTATATGGATTCCATATAAACACATTTTATCGCATTCTGGGGCTTTTGCCCACTCGGGTTTTTCACTCGAGTGACCACTGGTCAAATCTTTATGGCCTCCAAATAGCCTGGTATCTTTACGGTTTTCAGGATAAAACCCAATCGGCAACGTTAATTGGACCTGGTGCCCCATAAACCAATGGACTGGTGTGACATGGCAAATCTCGGCGCTCTATAAATGCACTGGAGCAACTTGCTGGTCAGCTCACAATGCCCATGAATGTCCACTATGAATGCCACTTATCGCCCTTGTCCAGTTCCATAAACTGTCTATTATCCAAAAGCCCGACGATAAGATCTGCGCTGTGAAGTGTAATTTTAAGGTGGTCCGACTAAGGGGTTTTAGTTTGGATTGTACCGTGCATATACCATATACCATGAGAACCAGGTGGAATTTCACGGGGCTTCTCGGACTGCTTCTACTCGCTCTGCAGGAGCTTCCCTCGGAGGCGATGAGGCTGCGGGGTGAACCACTTCCGGGTTTGGCCAACGTAAATAGGACCCGCCCTGCTGAGCTTGCAGATGCACCACAAGGTCGTATTGCAGGTGGAACCACCGCAACCGAGGGCAGTTGGCCGTGGATCGTGACCATCCAGAATATATATTCCTATCATCTCTGCGGCGGGATAATCATAAACAATCGATATATTCTAACGGCCGCAAGTTGCGTGGCGGGATTGAGGGCCAAAAATATATTGGTGGTCGTCGGAACCTCGGATTGGTGGGATCTGTATGCCATTTACTACAGTGTGGAGCAGATCCATGTGCACTGCAACTTCGACAAGCCGCTGTATCACAACGATATAGCCATTCTGCGTGTGGCGGCCGATATCGAGTTCAACGATGTGACCACCAACATAACTCTGGCCGACATCGATGAGTTGCAGGAGGGCGAAAAGTTGACCTTTGCGGGTTGGGGCAGCTCGGAGGCCATGGGAACCTATGGAAGGTATCTGCAGGAGGCATCGGGCACTTATCTGCCAGTGGACGAGTGCCGCGAGAAGCTGCAGAACTACGATGACGTGGATCTGGGACATGTGTGCGTCCAAATGGATGCGGGCAAGGGCGCCTGTCACGGAGACACCGGCGGTCCACTCATCGATGAGCAGCAGCGGTTGGTGGGCATCGGCAATTGGGGCGTTCCCTGTGGTCGTGGCTATCCGGTGAGAACCCCATATCGAACTCCATCCGATATATGTATTTATAACCCCTTATATCTTTAGGATGTGTACGCGAGGGCTGCCTTCTACCACGACTGGATCCGCACCACCATCAACGGGTGTTCGATTTCCTAGACATCGGCCACTTCTTATCTTTGCACTGAGGGAAATATGATCTACTCGATTTCTTATTATGTACACAGAAAAAAGCAATTAAATATGATTTATTCAACTGCATTTCTTATTTTTTTTTTTTACAAAACACGATTTTACAAAACTATGAAGACTCTTCCTTTTAAACAAATAACTAAGAATCGAGGTCTTCTTTAAAGTTAAATGTTGGAGTGTAATAAAATCTCAGGGACAAGGGTTTTTAAATTGAAACGTAAAGTGCATATCACTATTACAAATCGATTGAAAGGAGGAGTCCCAGTATATCGACTTGATTTTACTATGCAGATAATTAAAATTATGTTTTATGAACAATTGGTCAAATAGCCCTTAAATTCTTTTGAAATCAATTTTGTTATAATTTAGGAATGCATGAACTGGTTTAAAAATTTGACCCTTAAGTTTAAGTGTTGAAAATGCGTTTAACAAAATTAATTTTTACCTATAGTGAATTTTTTGTGCAGTGTAGACAAAGGTGCACATGAAATGTGGAGCTGATTTAATAAACGTTATGGGATTTTTACGATGGGAGAGTTTTTGGTTTTTGCTCAGACTGACCATGATTTAGATTGCACAACTTATATGGCAGCTCATTAATATCACGTCAGCTATCTAATATCGTATGTTGAATATCGTTTTTCGGAGGTTAGTTGCTTTTCAGCTGCACTCCTTTGCATTTAGTCCAACTTCAGGTGTTCGTCCAAGATGTCTTGCCAAATCAGAGCGGTTGCTCTGGTCTTTTTTATCCTTGCGGTTATATCCTTTTCGTCTGCGAGTCTTCGTCATCGCGAACTAACTTCTGATATACAAACCTCCGCCGGTAAATTCAGCTCCCGGATTGTTGGAGGAGCAGAGTCTGATGTCCTGGCGGCACCCTACCTAGTTTCGATCCAAAATGGCTATGGGTATTTAAATACATTTTTTTCTAATCTTAAAGATAGCAATGGAATACCTGGGATTTTTGTATAATTTTGTGATAAAGTTTGTAGGAGATTTTTGATAATTAGGTTATTAGTTTTATTATCTTTTATTTTTTTGATTGGAAGATTTAATACAATTTATTTTTTTTATTATTAAATTTATATATTATTTTTAATTATTTTATTTCCTATAGCTTTGGTTTAACTAACAGTTTAAATTAGTAATTAATAATGATTATTTTTACCGGTATTGCAAAATTGTAAACTGTAAAATTTGTTTCGTAGATATTTTATTTTGCATTTATTTTTGCTGAATTCTCCTATTTTATTACTAACTTTCAGTAACCACTTTTGTGGCGGCGTCATCATTGCCGATCAGTGGGTGGTCACCGCGGCCAGTTGTTTGGCTGGACTCCGAAAGAGCAATGTGAATGTGGTCACCACCACGTACAACAACTGGGGATCGGCTGGCTGGATTTATTCCGTGGAGGAGATCATTATGCACTGCAACTTTGACCAGCCACTTTACCACAATGACATCGCCTTGATCAAGACTCATACTCTGTTCGATTACGATGACGTCACGCAGAATATCACCATTGCTCCGCTGGAAGATTTGGTGGAGGGTGAAACGCTGACCATGTATGGATATGGCGCAACGGAAACCGGCGGCGACTTCTCCTGGGAGCTGCGTCAACTGGACTTGACCTACGTGCCAACGGAGAAGTGCAACTCCACCTACGGTGGCACCGGAGATCTGGATATTGGCCATCTCTGTGCCGTGGGAAGAGTGGGAGCTGGAGCCTGTCACGGGGATGCCGGAGGACCTCTCGTCGATAGTAAGGGTCGCCTGGTGGGCATTGGCAATTGGGGAGTCCCTTGCGGATACGGATTTCCCGACATCTTTGCCCGAATTAGTTTCTACTACAGCTGGATCATATCAACGATTAACGGCTGTTCCTTTTCTTAATCAATAAAGTTCTTTAAACTTTGTGGTCCGACTTTATGAATCAGAGATGATGAAATAGTTTTTTCACATAACATAAATCTGACCTTTTTTCAATCTGCAAAGTAGTGTAAAGCTTTAAGAACGGTTAAGCATTTTTTGAATATTATCCAAATTTATCTTAGGTTTTTAAAAAGAGACCCCACTGAAATTGTGCCAAAGTCCAAAGAGCAATTTAAACATTCATTGATTAACTTTAAATCTTGATAGACCCTAGACCAGACGTCTACATGTTGTTGTAATTGAAGTGATAAGTGAAGTGCCAAAATTTCATTGAAGCCATAAAAGCTGCTGGTTTTTCAGAATCAAAGAAATACCCTAAGACAAGAGTAATATATTTTTCAGCTTAAACACCCAAACAAAAAAATGTCTTGTTTATCAACATTTGATAAGCTTACCAAATAAGCTTTGGGATAAATTGTCCGAACTTTTATCTAAACTATTTTTTAATAAGCCGATTAAGTCTGTTTGTGATTAGTTTCTTATCTTCAATGCTAAGTATTCTATAGAATTTGTTTACAATCAGTGTATGCCAACTTCTATATCTTCAAGGGGCCCTTCAATCATTTTCCAATTATTCCAGTAGAAATTGGGGTAAACTTCCATTCGATTACGGCTACTATCAAGCGGCGGCGTCTGAAGATTTCCCCAATACAACACGATCTACGAACAAAGTCCGTCACCATTGCGTATGAGTAATATTTTTAAAGTCGTGTGCTGGTTGTCTATCACTCACAGTCCAAATGGCAGCAGAATTCCCCTCTATCAGGCACCATATATTGGCTATGGTAATTGTCACTATCGAAGCTTCCCTCGAACTGAGCCGCTTATCGCCAAACATATTTAAAAGAAACTCTCGGCGTGATAAGGAGAATTTGCAGGGAACACGCGGCTATAAAAGCGATTGCAGTGCCAAAAAGTGAACAAACCGCCTACGGAAGTTGAAGACAACGCAGCACTTAGAGAGATATACCTTTCCAATTAGTTCACAAAAAAAGAAAAACCAAAATGAAGTGGCTGGTACTGATTAGTGTTTTGGTGATCCTGTCGCAGTGTTCGGCGAAAAGCGTTAAGATCCACCGTCGTCACCAGTTAAATCACCATTTGGGTGTGGTTAAGCCCGAGACCCGTGTGATAGGAGGCATCGATTCCCCCACTGGATTTGCTCCCTATCAGGTGTCCATAATGAACACCTTTGGCGAACACGTGTGCGGCGGCAGTATCATTGCTCCCCAGTGGATCCTCACCGCCGCCCATTGCATGGAGTGGCCGATTCAGTACCTCAAGATCGTCACTGGAACGCTGGACTACACGAAGCCTGGAGCGGAGTATCTGGTGGATGGATCCAAGATCCACTGCAGTCACGACAAGCCAGCCTATCACAACGATATAGCCCTGATCCACACGGCCAAGCCGATCGTTTATGATGCGCTTACTCAACCCATCCAGCTGGCGAGCAAGGGAAGTCTCCCCAAAGTGGGTGACAAGCTGACCCTCACTGGTTGGGGCAGCACCAAAACCTGGGGAAGGTACTCCACCCAGCTGCAGAAGATCGATCTGTCCTTTATCAACCACGACAATTGCAAGTCCCAAGTGAGGAACGCCAGTTGGTTGGGCGACGGACACGTGTGCACCTTCACCCAGGAAGGCGAGGGATCCTGTCACGGAGATTCCGGTGGCCCACTGGTGGATGCCAACCAAACCCTCGTCGGTGTGGTCAACTGGGGAGAAGCCTGTGCCATTGGTTATCCCGATGTCTTCGGATCGGTGGCCTATTACCACGATTGGATCGAGACGATGATGACCGACTCGGGAACCGCCTGCTAGGGTCTAAAAGTCACCCGAGGGGGTACAAAAGCCAAAAACCGAACAAAATTAGCACCTGCCATATAAAGTGGCACCTGCAAATGATCAAATTAGCCCGTAAATTTTATCACTCAGATATCATAGCCCCTAAATAATTTATGAACAAATAAATGAGCAATTGCGCTTCAATTTTAAGTAACTTTGTTTTTATGTCTTGTTTTTCACCTCAAGAGGAGAACTATTTTTACTCTTTCGAGACGGTTGTAATCACTAGAGCACTTTATAAGAAATCCCGCACTTCATGCTGCCCAGATTACTTCACCTGCCAGTCATTTTCACGATCAATCATGATATTTACTTCTCCGAAATGAGTCAACAAATAAACAAGCGCCAATTCGGAAGAAGTGGAATATCAGGAAGTGTTTGTTATCAATTTGGGATTACTCAATGCAGAGATAAAGAGACGTTCGATGATTGTTAAATCGAGCAACTTAGACAATTTAAACGGTATTAAGCAAAAAAACTTTTTATTTCATGAACTTTGTAGAGCTCAACTTCTTAAAGAACCACTCCAATCAACTTATTTGAATTCCCTGTTATGTAAATTAAAGTTTATTTGATTATGCAAACTGCATTTATCAGCGGCTAGCCTTTTGTTTACTAAGTGTGTTTAGTTTTGAGGGTTCTTCACCAACGCAGCTTGACTTTTACACAAGATATTGGCTACGGAACGTGACTGGTTTGTTAATCTTAAGGCCTTAAGTACCTATAAAAAACATTTCCAGAAAGTTGCAATGTTCAGTTTAGAAAAGTCAAGCTTTCATTATGTTGCTGATTTGTTTACCACTAATCCTACTTAGTTCTATTGCTTCTAGTCAAATTCTATATCCTCCGCAATTTACAACGAATCGCATTGTGGGCGGCGAGGATGCAGCGGAGGGCGTGGCACCTTACCAGATTTCTCTGCAGGGAGCGACAAATGGAGCTCACTCCTGCGGTGGTGCCATCATCGATGAACGGTGGATTATAACGGCAGCTCACTGTACGAGAGGCAGACAGGCGGCGGCTTTTCGAGTCCTTACGGGCACTCAGGATCTGCGGCAGAATGGTTCGAAGTACTATTATCCCGACAGGATTGTGGAGCACAGCAACTACGCACCTCGCAAATATCGCAATGATATAGCTCTCTTGCATCTGAACGAATCGATTGTGTTTAATAACGTCACCCAACCGGTGGAACTGGATCATGAGGCCTTGGTTCCAGAATCCCGCCTCCTTTTAACTGGTTGGGGAACCCTTTCTCTGGGCGGAGATGTTCCCACCCGTCTGCAAAGTCTGGAGGTCAAGTATGTGCCCTTCGAACAGTGTCGGGCTGCCCATGATAATAGCACTCGTGTGGATATTGGCCACGTTTGTACTTTCAACGACAAAGGACGTGGAGCCTGTCACGGTGATTCTGGAGGTCCCTTGGTGCACAATGGCAAGCTGGTGGCATTGGTCAACTGGGGACTGCCTTGTGCTAAAGGTTATCCAGGTAATTACAACATAAAGAAGGTTTTTTTTGAGTAAACAATTAAATATATATTTTGTAGATGCCCATGCTTCCATTGCTTACTATCATGACTTTATTCGCACTCAACTTAGTCTTTCGAAAACGGACAGCACCGATGATATTCAAGAAGAAACTACTATTGTCCACAATTAGTGTTTATGTCTTGTATTTGAGCGAACTGTATTGAAAAGTAATTTCTGCAAAGAAAAAAATATTTAAAATAAAGTTAATCTTTAAAAAACTAAAACTTAGACCTTTGCAAGGGATTTTATCTATCAAAGCAAACTGGAAATTTGCAGTAACAATGTCATACTTATAAATAAAAGGGGGAAAAAGTTCAAGCCTCTGGTTAATGAGGTTCCATTACGTTTAATTTTCGTAAACAAAATTCTTAAATGCAGCAAATCCGCAATGAAGTTCCCAATCAATGGAAAGATTTTATATAATTTAACGAAATGCTCGCTTTCACATCAGATTCAAAATTCACTTGTTTACAAATTGCTAAGCCACAATTACAGCACCGGCGATCAAAATTCCAACTCAAAGCAGCCAAACCTTTTGAAGTACCATGTTTTGCCACTCGAAGAAACGATGAAACGCTTTAAGACCACCATTGAACCACTTTTAACCCCGGAGGAGTTGGAGGCGCAGAAAGAGATCTCGGATAACTTCATGCGAAGGGATGGACAGAAATTGCAGGACCTCTTGGAAGAAGTTGGCAGCAATGAGAAGAATTGGTTGGCCCCTCGCTGGTTAAATGTTGCATACCTGAAATATCGATTGCCAGTCACTGCGTATGTGAGTCCCGGAATGACTTTCCCAGTTCAGGAATTTAAAGATCTACACGATTACATCGATTATACATCAAGAGTTATCTTTGGTTTGGGTAAGTTTAACGAGCTGGTGCATGCCAATAAAATTCCCATTGTGAAGATGGGCAAGAACGAGCTGGACAACAGTCAGTTTGGCAAGGTATTCGGCACCTGCCGGATACCAAAAAGGATCCAAGACGAGATAGTGTACAATCCGTGCTCCGATTATATCGTGGTGATCTACAAGAACCATTTTTATCAACTCCAAATTTATGATGAGGAGGGAAAACTCATTGCAGCACCCTGCTTAGCGGCCCAATTGGAAGATATTATGTTGAAGGAAACGAAGTTAGGCATTCCCTATGGCATTTTGACCACCGATACTAGGGACAACTGGGCCGAGTCCTATGGACACCTGGCCAATACCCCCGAAACCGGGAAGCCCTCAAAACCATTCAGACTGCTTTGTTCACCGTTTCCCTCGACGAGTGTTTCGCTCCGAAGGAAGGTGAGGAAGCCGAGGAACTAATTCTATCCCTGATCCACGGAAAGGGAAGCAAAGTGAACAGCGCCAATCGCTGGATGGATAAAACCATTCAGTTGGTGGTCAATCCGAATGGATTTGTGGGATTCACCTACGAGCATTCGCCTGCCGAGGGCCAACCCATCGCCATGATGATGGACTTTGTGGTAAAGATGTTGAAGGAGGATTGCAGTTTTGGGGATTGCGGATCCCAGAATATTACGCCCGCGAAGAAAATAGAATTTTGTCCGCTCACTGAGTGCGTTCAGCAGTGGTTGATAATAGCGCAGAGAAACATTGATCAACTTGTGAGGCGTCTTCACATGAAGGTGCTCAAGTTCGATGGCTACGGAAAGGACTTTATAAAGAAGCAGAAACTCGGACCGGATAGCTATATCCAGATGGCCATTCAGCTGGCCTTCTATAAGCTACACACCATCCCAGCTGCTCAATATGAATCCGCACATTTGCGCATATTCGATGGCGGTCGAACGGAGACCATTAGGTCCTGTTCCATTGAATCCTTGGCCTTCTGCAAGGCCATGGAAAGTGAGGTGGGCTCCATTGAGGAGCGGGCTGAAGCTCTGCGTGAGGCGGTGATGTGCCATCAGATGTACGCCAAGTTGGCTCTTGAAGGTCGAGGAGTCGATCGTCACTTCTTTGGACTGCAGCAGATGGCCGTGGAGAACTGTTTGCCCATCCCGGAGTTCTTTTCATCGCCAGGTTATGTGAAGTCGTCTGACTTCACCATAACCACCTCGCAGGTGGCCACCAAGTATGATGCCTTCATGGGATACGGACCGACCGAGGAGGATGGCTATTCCTGCTGCTACAATCCACGGGAGTGCGACATCATTTTGGCCGTTGCTGCTTGGAAACACTGTCCAATTACGGATGCCCTCAAGTTTGTTAAGATGCTGGAAAAGTCATTTTTGCAAATGAAGGATGTGTTGGAAAAGTGTCCTCTTTCGTCAGGGAAACCACACGAGCCCAAATGCAAATTGTGAACATTTTTAAGAGTAGTACATTTTACCAAAAATTAAAGTGATGAAGAAAAAGTTATTGTTATTTTAGTCATTTTAGACCTATTAAGTTGAAATACTAATACTAATGTTACGGGACTGAAAAAATCGCCAGATATTAAGTATACGATATTTTGGCGCGTGCTTAAAAAGGTTTGAGTCTGGGGTGCTATCGAATACTCCAACCGTTTGTTTGGAGCACGTTTAAAAGAGACATAAGCAAATGGTGTTTTGGCTATATAAATACATTAAAAACAAAATTGATTACATTTTTTTAGATGATGAAAATGTGGAAAAAATATACTAACTGTATATTTCACCTCCCAAAACTTTAAAATAAAGAACCCTTCAGTAAAACAAAGGCCAACTTTTTCAACAATGAAATTTGTAATACGGAGTTTGGTAACAACTGGCACTTAAAGCTAAGGGTATTAATGACAGCTAACTAGATCTGGATGTGGCGGGCAATGAAGAATACTTAAAACTGGTTCGCGGGAAGGTAATGATTGCCGATGGGACTTGCGCCTCCGTTTCCAGCTCCGTTCTCCACGAAGTGTCCATCGGATTGCTGCTGCTGCTGAACCTGCTGCTGCTCCTCTTCCTCCTCCTCTGGGGGGTCCAGGGAGCCAACCACCGAGGTGATGGGGGCCACACCCTCGTCGGTGATGGTGGAGCTTCCTCCCAGGGTGTCGTACTGCGACTGAATCTGTCGCTGGGCATTCAGAGCCTCCTCCGGCGTCCTGTACTTGATGAAGAACACTTCCGGCTTGTTGATGTGCTGTGGTGCCTCGGCGATGGCATCCTGCAGATCGGAGGCGGTTGTCTTCTTGGCCAGCACATAGACCACAGTCTTCTCCTGCTTGAGGGTCTTGGCCAAGTTGAGAGCCGCAGCGCGATTCGTTTGGGCCGGAGTCTTCACGAACAGCACGTTGTAGTGGTTACGCGGCTGCTGGGCCAACTGGTTCAGCTCGTCCTGCACCTCATCCTCGGATTCCTCGGGCGCCGAGTGGATGAAGAAGTTCTTGGTGACGATGGGCCGCTTGGGAATCCTCACCCTTGGACGAGCACGTCGCTGCTGCTGGACGGGAGCGGTTTGGAAGTTGATGGGGAATCCAGTGGGCATGGGAAACGCTCCAGTTGTGGCGGTGGGACGAGCGACTGACTGGGAGTGGAAATGACCACTGGGTGGCAGGTAGGGCAGTGGGAGAGGAGGCAGCACCGGATGCGAGGATTGCTGAGGCTGCAGCTGCTGCTGCTGCTGGAGTTGTTGGTTCAACAGGTGGGCGACCACTGGAGGCTGCGGCTGCTGCTGGATGCGATAGTTATAACCCGGCTGGGTCAAACTAATGTCAGCCTGGCTCACACTCAGGCTCAAAGCCCCCATCAGAACCGTCTGTAAAACAAGGGAAGTACTCATTATAATCCTCTGTTGAATATATCCATTTTTCGGGGGAGATCCAACGCACCAGAAATATCTTCATGCTGTCGCTTGGTTTGGTGTCTCTCTGCTGGTTAGCTGTCTTTAGCCGGATGCTCCCTCGCTGGCCGAGTTTCTTACTGCTGTGATGATGGGTCAACCGTGGCCAGTGGCTTTTATACCAATCCCCGGCCACAACTAGTTTATAATCGGAAACAAATCGTGAAACAGCAGCCAAAAGCAGTTGCAACAGTCGGAGGGGTCATAAAACATTTGTTATGCGTGGCGAAGAGTTTGTTTGGATTCACCAGGTTGGGTGGCAAGTGGGCTTTTGTATTAACTTTACAAGGGTTCACCACAAAGAAGTCGAGCGAGAGGCGACCTTAACAATGGGTGATACACATACGGGTGTAAATCCGCAAGCGTTGTAAACAAGTTGGTGAAGTTGTGACCATTCGCCTCATAAATAAGATCTATTTGATTAAGTTTTAAAGAGATAAGCTATTATTTTACATATATATTTTAGATGTAATCCAAAATCTATTTCTAAGAACTATACATTTTTTATAGTTAAACTTCTTTGCTACCCAGGTGTTGCAAAAATTAACATAATTAAGATGTTAAAGGTGCTTTGCCTAGGTGCCAAGAAAACAATCAAATCAATGCTTTGATTGAATTAATACAAAAGCATTGGTTTTCTTGGCAATTTTTGCAGATCAGTTCAATGGCACACACCACAATATGTAAATATTGATGACGAATATAGGCGACGAGGTTACAAACCCGATTTAAAATGCACTTTTGTCTCTGGTGCTATTGTCTCTAGTTTGTTTTATTGTCCAAAACTTTATCAAATGGAAATTGAAAATTGTTTATTCGGGGACTGGTGTATTTCGCATCTATCTTGGTCGGGCCCAAGGTCTAGGTCTCTTTATCTCATTCGATGGGGCGTAAATATTGGGCGATATAGTGACAGCTCTAAATGTGCCAAATTGAGACAAAATGCTCGTATATTTGGACTTGAAGTAGGTATCGGTTTTCGAACTAAAGAAGTGAAGGTAAATCACCCGATAAAATCGAAAGTAAAGCATCTCAATTGGATTTGTCCAGCTTCCAGCGGAAATTAGTTGTCATAACAAACACAAAACAGATGCATACTGAATGAGTTTAGATATAGGGCCAAAAAAGGCTAATTGGCAGGCCTATTTTAATCGGGTGAACGCTTGATGTAATATCAAAAAAGAGAGATGGAATGGATGGATAACTGTTTCCTTTCCAATTTTGACTTATTCACTCACCCACTTGAAATGTATTACTTAGTATTGTGCATTTATCAGAGTGCATCTCATTAGCCGGGGGATTTCTGCCCACAAATCATTGGAAGCCAGCCAAGGGCAACCTAACCACCAGATGATAAGCAAACCCACATTTCTTACGGCTGTTATCTGGTCGAAGAAAACAAAACTGGTTTCATACTTTCTCACGCCAATTTCGTGAGCCATGAAAAACAGTAAAATGAAACCGAAACTTTTTTTGGCTCGAATAATTTGTTGATGTGGGGGCATTAAAAATGCAAAGATCTGTCAAAGAAATATACGATAAATTTCCGTTCGTAATGGGAAACCAAAACTACTTTGTCATTAATTAATAGACCCAAATGCATTAGTACGAAAGTAGCAGGCAACTAAAACAAAAAGTTACAATGGAAATGGAATCCAACCGGTGATTAATGGGGACTATTGCCGCATTTTGCATATTTTATGCAGAGCAAATAAGTTGCTAAAATCTATTGAATGCAAAACACTCTGTGCGCAGATTAGCCAAAGCATAAAAGTGAATGTCGACGGGTCACAAATTATGATTTGCGTAAGAAACTATTTTATTTTATTTTAATTTATTAATTCACACCATGGGAGAGATTTTGACATTGGCGGCCTTTGTCCATTTCCATGCATATTATTAGCAACCGAATCCGACCCCAAACACCATCCGTCTAAAAATCCGCATCCCCCAATCCGTCACATCCAATTGATTGGGCGATAAATGCTGCTGCGAGGCCTACCATCCGTTCATTATAAATGCATTTTTAATTATTGCCCTAAAAATGAGTCAAAATTAATTATGGGACACCCTGAGTTCACAACTCTTTTGGGATGACAACGAAATCCCAGACAAAACCATGAATTTAATAATAAGCATGTGGAACGAATCAACTATTGTCTCTGCTGCGTTTAAGCTGAGAGTTTTACATGGGCTTCGGCACAAATATTGACAAATGATTGAGGATCGATATCCGAAACAACTTAAGTGGTTGTTTTCCTATATAATCTGAAATCATAATACTTATTAAATATTTCCGAGACAAGCAGAGTAAATTTGGAAGATTTTCTGTTCATCTTTAAATAAAAACGACAATTTGAAATACAATCAATAAACTTGTAGTTGTTTTAAGCCATTGGTGACTAAATTTCAAACCATATGTTGGTTTGCCACCCAAAGGAAACATTACGTGTTATTTTATTGACAGTAAACTGTAAACTATTCAATTTATTGATTAGATTTGCGTTTTACTCAAAATTCAGTAGATATTTATTCGATCCGGCTTATGCAACACGTGTGCTAAACGAACTCAATCCATCGGTCTCACAGAAATGGTTGTTAAAATACTTGGTGTGGGCCAAGACAATGCTTTTGGCCCACACACATACATTTAATACATAGGTCTAAAAAGCGTGGTAATCATAAGAAGTTAAGGGACAAATGCTGTCGAACAGATTGAGTGACTTTGGCCCTCTCACAAATTGCAGTTCACATTCAGTTATCGAGTTCGATTTTAGTGTTTCAACAAGTGTTCAATTAGTTATTCTAGTTGTATGTATATATATATATATAGTATATATTTAGTATATGTTTCAGGCGTAATTGTATGTATGTAGATAATGTGTAAACTTTATTGGCGTTACAATGAGTTCCCCTCTTTAGGAGCTAATAATCAAAACAGCAGAGCAGAAATTGTCAAGTACAAAGATCCGCCTTTCGCTTTGTAAGTTCTCTAAAATATTAATGTTTCCGATACACTCTCTATATATATATAGTTTTTAATATCACGTTCATCGTTTACACTTTTTGCTTGTTCTGTTACAATTTTTGTTCTGATTCTGCTTCTGATCTCGATTGGAGTTTTAAACTACGTTAAGCCGATTTAACAATAGATATAGATATCTGTAAATATGTATTTAATATATAGAGCGAGACATAGTAACCGACACTGGTGAAATTTTGAAAATTCCCAACTGGTAAAATCATTTGGCGTTATGGGAACACCTTCAATTTTGACATAAGACATAGACACAAACACGCTTTAGGCTTCGATTAAGCTTCCTATACTCTGATCCTTACGGTTCGTGGTTCCGGACGAACTTCTCCAACTGCCTGTGCAGTTGATTGTGGTAGGGTATCCGGTGTTTGCTAATCGCCGTCGCCGCCAAACACTGAAGTGACACAAAGTTGAGCAGCGGAATGGTGCTGGTGGGATTGGATGCTATTAAGTCGTAGGGCCGCTTGTCGGCTCGATTCGGTTGATCGATGTCCGCTCCGCACTTGAGCAACAGGTGAACAATCTAGTCAGAAACATTTCGGGAATAAGAATGGTTTAAGAAAATGTAGTTGGTCTTATTCAAATCACTAACCTCATTGTCATAGTTGTAGGGCTGACAAGCCACGTGCAGGGGCGTGGATTTGGCTTCGTTCTTGATGTTCACATCAACACCGCACTGGATGAGCAGTTTGATGACATCCGCATTTGGGAACACAGTCTTCTGTGGGTTTCAAAGGTCAGTTAATAAAGGGAATCGTAGTGAAATAGATGTAACCCACATCGGCAAAATTGTCGTCAGTGATGTAGCCGCTCTTAATGACGTTTAGCCGCGAGGCGCAGAGGTGGAGCATTGTGTCGGCGGTGCTGGCGCTGCGCAGGTTGCCCACCACCACCGCCTCGTGGACCGCCTGGCAGATGAGCTTGTTCTGCGCCTCCGTATGGACGGTATTGATCAACAGATAAATGAGATGAGCCAGACACCTCATCACGCGATCGTAGTTCTCCTGCTGTCTCCTAAAAACCGGTCGCAAGAGCAGCAGGTGCTTCACCACAGTGGCGCTCTCCGCCAGAGTTCTGAAGACCCCGAGCACATCCTCGAACCTGGGCAGCACATTATCCTGATGCACGAACCTGGCTCTCGCATCGCTTCGTATGTGACTCGAGTTCTGGACATGCAAGTCCAGCATCAGACGCACCAGCGCCTGAGCGGCGAAACAAGTCTCAAAGTGCAGGATGGACCAGTTGGAAACGCGCACCTCGAGGAGGAAGCGCCACAGATCAATGCATCGCTGAAGCTGCAACGAATCTGCATACGAGGCGCCCCTGAAAGAAAATTTGTTCAGTTAAGATTAAATTTTAGGAACACAAATACGTATTTACCTGAAAGTTAACCGGAACAGCATATCCTTGTGGGTCAGTCCCAGAACCCGCTCGCAAATAAGCAGGCTCTGCGTTCGCATCGCATCCATATCGGTGGCAATGTTGTCCAGTTCCTCCAGAGTACTAAACTCCACGGCATTCTCGTAGGCAGTGCGAAGAGGAACCTGTGGCTTCTTTTCGATATACGGCGTATATGCTGCGCGGATGTGATGCGCCATGCGCCAGTGCAGAATGCACACACGCGACTCGTTGTGCTCGTCCAGGAACGTCGATCCCATCAGCTCGTGGGCCTCCGCCAGCCTTGCTGGCAAATAATTTAGTTCCTTCTTAAGGAAGTCAAAGATCTGATGAGCTCCCTTCAGGCAGGCAGTCCGCAGGGCATCGTCTCCGTAACGACTCTTGGCATACGGGTCGGCGCCTTGCTCAATCAACATCTTAGTGGTGTCCAGTCGGTGTTCCTGGATCGCATAATGGAGCGCTGTCTTGTCCTGGATGTCCCTGGCATTAATGTCTGCTCCTTTTCGCACCAAGTATAAACATAACTGCACAGACTGCACAGAGTTGATTAGACAGGTGCCTCCATTAATGTTTGGGCGCTTGATGTCGGCTCCGTTTTCCACCAGGAACTTGACTGTAAAGTATAATGGAAGATTTTATTAATATTTATATAGTTTTTATATGTTTATTAATCTTGACTTGGTGATCTACAAAATTATAACTCATGTTCAATTGGAAAGACAAAAGATATGCCTACATTTATAAAATCATCTTAGCAGAATAAAATAGCAACTTTCACTGACCTAATTTAATTCGGTAGACAAAAGTCGAGAAATCGTTTCTATTATGCGAATTGTGATTTAAGAAGATAACATTAAATATGCCACTAAGCCACCTGTTTACTAATAGCCCTTATTGGCAGATGGAAATTGTTCGTAAAGATTCTTAAAAGTTTAAGGTTTGAGTACAATCAATAGATTGATTCAAACGGAATAGCGTATTATTGAATAAAGTGCATACTTCTTGGAAACTTAATGCATCGTTTTTACCTATTTGCAACTACATACGTAAACCATAAATAACTCCTTACCGATGTCGACGTGAGTCATGTAGCAGGCACTCCTTACGGGCGTCGATCCCGAATCGGAGGTGGCATTAATGTCGCATCCAATCCGGACCAGATATTTGACCATAGACAATTTGCCGGAGACGACGGCTGCCCAAAGTGGCGATACATAGTGGAAGCTGTTGTCCTCCGGCACTTCAAAGTGTCCTCTTTGCTCGATGTCGGCTTCGCAAATGGTGATGAGATACTCGGCAATAACCACGGCGCCCCGTTTAGCGGCAATAAAAAGGGGTGCGCAACCATTGCGCTGCTTTCGCACCAACTCGCGACGGGAATCGCGGGGCAGCCTATAAGTAAGATTATATTTCGCATCATTTATATTTGTTTAAATCGAAAATTTTTTTCTCTGCAAGGCTAAGGGTAGAGAATCGGAAATAGCTATTGATCAGCACGTGCAGGGGCAATGATTTTGTGGGAATTGTTGATAAGATGAAGCGTTCAGCGACGTCAAATTAGTGAGCACTTTCAGCAGAACATTCACACTAATGACTAGAGAATTGCGATTGCTGATTAGGTTTCGTCAAAAATGTATGGATTCAAATATTGGTAAGATATGACTTTTTATCAGTTCCATAAAAAAAATATCTTATATTTTTTGTAAAAACAACAAGAAAAACAATATACAACGGAATGAACGGAATATTTACATAAGAAATAACTTTTATTGCCATAAATTGCGCTATAAAGGCAATAAGCTGTATCATAATTTAACAGTCTCTGATGAATGAGCCTAATAAAAATAGTTGTTGGTTCGATTATACTGAAATTCTGAATTTAAATTACAGGCTTTAAGCTATGGAAAAACTCTTAAATTCGCTTATTAAGGTAAGCGTTTTTCGTGGCGCAGGTGGCGTCTCTATAAAATATATACATTATTTATCAGCATAGGCAGGCGATTCGATTAAGACAAGTTCTATTTGTTTGTCTGCTTGAATGCCTTGTTCAAATAACACCGGACAAAATTATTTATGTATTGATTAATAGTATTAGGGAAAGTTGGATGTGTAGAATATATTCTCTCACATTCCTTAAACCGAATAATAGTAATTATTGCTTACTTCTACGCTATTTAAAAAAAAATTAAAAATTCTTGAGAAGCACAAACAAAATTGTCGGACAAAAGTTTTGTATCATTTCGTTTTTAAGAATGAATGTTTTGAAGTGTAGAAAACAATTGATTATTCCTAGGCCTCATTCAATGGACTCCCTCCATTAACGCCGTCTATATACTATTAATAAACCTATTCAAAGGACGTACTTTTCCAGCTCGTGGCGAAGGTGGCGCGACAGCAGCGAGTCCTCTTGGCTGCGCTTGCACTCCTCGATCAGCTCGTGACTGAGCTTGGTGAGCTCCACCTTGGGACTGCTTTGCTTGCGTTCGTTGGCCATCGATGGCCGTGCGACTGGCTGCTCCTGCTCCTGGCGAGGACTTCGAACCTGATCCTTGGCTTCCAGCTCCAGCTGCTCGACCTGACGACGGCTGCCTTCAAGTGAGCGCATTGCCAGCGAACCGTCTCATTGCCAATAGGGTGGCTATATATCTTTATCCTGTGCAGTGGGTTTGGGCTGTGCTGTGTAGACTGTGGGTGTAGGCCTCCTCCCGGATGTCCTTGGGCCACTGCCCCTTGCAAAAGCGATGTGGCAGTGACCTACTGAACCCACAAGCCTGGGCGACTTAATTGGGTTGTCTCTCGCTGCTCCCGTTTTTGTGTCGCCCAAGGCCGTCCGAGTACTTTCTTTTTCTCTCTCTGTATGTCTGCTTGGCTGCTTTTCCTTCTCTCCGAATCAATTTCTGTGTCTGTTTAGCGTGCAACTTGGGTGCATAATCTAATGGGGTTCCTTTTTCAGGGACTTTCACAATTCGCAATTGCAAAAATCAAGCAACAACAACGAGGCCGGTGTGTGTGTGGGTGGCCGTGTAGTGGTGTGGGTGTCTGGTTCACGGTTTACACCATGTTTTTCCGTGTTTTTCTGTTTATAAATAAAAAGTCAGGAGAACTCTTAACGTCAAAACAGTGTGTACACAACTTGGGGGGTGACAATAACTGAAACAGCTGCTCCAACACGAACTGTTGTCCATAACAGACTGAGGGGGTTGCCACATCTCGGTCTTAAATTGTGACTACTGTCTAGTATTTAACGATAGCTATCGCACAAAATAATACCCAGTTTGTATTTCTTTTAGCTAATTTGTTTTATTTTTTTAAGTCAATCATTTTGTAAATACTTTTACAAACGACTTGTTATACCATTTTTTATGGCATTAATTTTACAATATATAACTTTCGCCGCGATCAGGTGGTAGTCGATAACTACCTTTTCGATATTTTTGTCACTGATGTCAACCCTGTTTTCAAAGAGAGACGACGCGCTGTTTGCAAAAAGGGATCACTATTATTGTTTGTGTCATTGTGTATTGTAAAAAGTGTTAAGTACAGCAAATGGAATCTCCAGTGGTCAAGGATATAGCAGCCGGCTTGGGTGGCGATAGGCTGGAAGTCTTCAGAAAGCTAAATCTCCTAGAACAGCACCGCATTGAATCCTTCAAAGATTGGCCTTTTCCAGAGACGGCTTCATGTAGCATTTCTAAGGTAACCAACGCTTGAATATATGTCTAAAATTTCTAAACATTTATTTTAATCTTTATCACCTATTGTGTGACAGATGGCCGAGGCGGGATTTTATTGGACAGGCACAAAGCGAGAAAATGACACCGCCACTTGCTTTGTGTGCGGAAAAACTCTCGATGGTTGGGAATCCGAAGATGATCCATGGAAAGAGCACCTCAAACACGCTCCTCAATGCGAGTTCGTGAAGCTATCGTGTCCCGAAAAGGATCTAACTGTGAGTTTTAGCTGCCTCTGTTCTCAAATGTTTTTTATAAACCCTAATATCCCTGTACTAGGTCTCACAATTCCTCGAATTACTTGGGACCGTCGTTAAAGGCAGTATCGAGAAAACCTGTAAAGCCTTTAAACGGAGTTTCGTTCAAGAAAACGAGAATCGCCTAGATGAGTTTACTCATAACCTAAAGTAGATTCTAATTCTTTTTAATTAAACCGTATCTATATTTATCATTTCATGTACAGAAATTTGTCAATAAAACGGGGTGTTAGTGCCAACATCAAATTTAATATGCCTCATTATCTGTGTTGTATAGTATATATATAGTTTTTAAATATTCAAACTAAAACATCTGTGAAATGGACAGTGAAGGTAACTTCATTAAAAACACCAAATCGTCCAATTTAATATTGTTCCCACGGTCATACTAAGCTTTTCTTTAAAAACAGCTGATTGAAAACAACAATACAGACTCAAAATAAACATCAAAAGCTTCCTTCTCTTTTGTTTATTGCTCATTTGAAAATTTGCGGTCCGTTGAAGAAAACACTATGTTGAAGCGCAAGCTAAATCAGCAGAAAGATAATCTGGAGGATGAGCAACCCAAAAAGTCATCCACAAACGAGGGAAATATATCCGAATTCTTTCTTCAGCCTCTTTGGTCGAAATTTTATATGATGGAAGTTAAATTAAACGAGGAACTAGATAAGTTAACCCCCCCACCCAACATTACGTGCATTTACAACCCAATAGTATATGCGTCGCAATTGCATTGCGATTATTTGCGTTGTTATTTGGATGGACCCAAGAAGCTGGTTTTTATTGGGATGAACCCAGGACCCAATGGAATGGCTCAAACAGGTGTAAGTCTGATGTAAAAGAATTTGATAAGTTTATAACATCTTGTTGATTTTTTTTTTTTTAACTTTTATTTTAGATACCCTTTGGCAATGTGCGCACCGTAAAAGTTTTAATGCAACTATCAGGATCGGTGGGCAAACCTCCAGTCGAACATCCCAAACGGCCAGTCATGGGCTTGGATTGCCGGACTGAAGAGCCGAGTGGTGTTCGTCTGTGGGAATTGTTTTTGCGGTTAGCTGGAGGCATACAGACATTTTCTCAACAATGCTTTGTGCACAACTTTTGTCCTTTGGCTTTTTTTGATGAAAAAGGCAAGAATTTGACACCCAGTGAACTGAAAGGACTTTACAAAAAGCAAATCCAGGAATTGTGTTTAAAGGCTTTCGAGGATCAATTGATGTTGCTTAAACCAGAAGTAGTTGTGGCTGTTGGGGATTATGTTCACACCGCATTAAAACATTCAGGATACTGCAAATCGGATGCCGTTTCTGTACTTCGACTTCCGCATCCGAGTCCACGATCCGTTAATAACACCAATTGGCCGGAAAAGGCGGAACTGTTTCTAGGGGAGAATAACCTTGTCCGCTATTTGCGGAATGAGGGATAAAGCATTTGTGCATCCGGTATGCAATAATGGTCATATATATAAAAATATAATTAAGAATTGGCAATCCTCCGAATACTCAGTACAAATTTACCGACCAAAAGAACATAGACTACAATTTACAATTATAATGTGTATAATAAAAATACAGAAAAATTTGAACTTTAAATTCTCGGCAGACTTTTGTAACCATACATGAATAAAGAGTTCAGAATTATTTGCGGATTTCCTTTTTTCTAGCACTGTGGAATACCCTTAATATTTAGCACTGTTGAGCGTTCTTTCGCCGTGTCACCGTGATTAACCGAAACGTGACCGTTCACCGTGACGGCCAGCTGTTATTCAGTGCTGCAAAACACCAACCGAGTGAGAGCTGTTCCGAAGCCTTTTGTTTTTGTTGACCTGGTCATCTGTGCGGCTTTTCACCCAGTTTGCCAAAGTTTATTTCCATGCCAAATGGCCGCCTTTATGGAGGAAGCGTTAGTGGAGGCTCGGAGGGCACGTGACGCCGGCGAGGTGCCCGTGGGCTGCGTGTTCGTTCATGGGGACAAGGTAGTCGCACGTGGCGGGAACGAGGTGAACGTCCACCGGAACGCCACCCGCCATGCGGAGTTCATATGCATCGATGCAATCCTGGCCAACTGCCGCGAGAGGCGGCTGCCGGCCCGCCAGCTCTTCAGCGAGATCACTGTGGTGGTCACCGTGGAGCCCTGCATCATGTGCTCCGCTGCCCTTCACACGCTCGGGGTCAAGGAGATCATCTACGGCTGCGAAAACGACCGTTTCGGTGGAAAAACGGTTGTGGACGTGGCCGCTGTCGTGGGCCAAAGGATCGACATCACCGGAGGCGTGCGGGCGGACGAAGCGATGGCCTTGCTTAAGGAGTTCTACAAGGGCGACAATCCGTCGGCACCACCACTGGCCAAGAGGAAGAAGTAGAATCTGCCGGAGGACTCATCTACTTTCGGGAGCAGGAATAAACTGGGAAACATCTAATCATCAAGAATCCGCAGGTCAAGAAGATAGAGTGCGATAGTCAGAGAACCGAAGTTTTTCCGGGACATTAGGCTTACCAACGAATCCTCAGAACCACAGGACAAGGACATAGTAAAGTATATCAGCCTAAAAAACAAACACCTTTTGGGTTTACTAGGCAAACGTATTCGGACTAAACGCAAGACCAAAACATACAGTATAGTTAAAACTTGAACATGGAAATTTCTAGAAAAGGCTTACTACGAATAAGTTTGGATTGTATATTACAATAAGATAAAAGGTTAATTCCTGGTACAGTTGCATAAAGTAGAGAAAAACGAACACCGTTGTTAAGAAAATCGAAACTACGCCCATAAAAAAAAGAATATTCCAACCATCTGCGTCCCGGGAACTTAGAGTAAAAACCCGAAAGTAAAAAAGTTCCACTGCATCATTCGTCGACGATTTCTGTATATGTTTCAATTTATTATAAACTTTAAGCATAGTCTAAGATATATATATGTATATGGCGTTCAGAACGTATGTTTAAACTCTAAACATAAATACAATTACTGCATAATAGCTACAACATTTACGTGTGTGTAGTGAAGGCTGTGCCTGTTTCCACTATAGGAAGACTACTCAAAAAAACTTGTTTCCTTTCCAAATGCGTTAAGTGCAGTCATACAATCCGACACCAATAATCTGTTTAACGCTCCAACATTTGAAACTTAGAAAGAAAAAATGTATAATCCAAGGAAATCTTTTACCAGTTAAAGTTGCTTTACTCTATCATTATGCTTTATAAAGTTTGAGAACAAATAAATAGTTCTCAAAAAGAGTATCTGTTATACCCTTAAAGTAACTTTATTTTTTAAGGATTTCTTTTTAAATTTTAATTTAAGTCTACAAAAGTTGGAGGGTTAAACCCGGGCTTAACCTACAGTAATTTCCCTACGTCCTAAGCTAACTTTTCTGTTCGTTCGTTTGCTGTGCCAGCCAACTTCCTTGATCGAAATCAGCTTATTATACTTAGCATCAAGTGCTGGCGCAGCAAACAAACAATGGCGGGCGACTAAGCGAATCTATACTAAATCTAATTAAATGCGCAGGTTGCGGCGTCTATGGCCAATGTTAAGCCACTCCAGCGGCACATTTCCGCCCACATTGTAGGTGGTTGGGATGCAGTTGAGCAGCTTCCTAGCGGGTTCGCATCGCCGGCTCACGTTCCAATAGGCGAATCCCTGCGGACAGCGGTGGATCTGACCCTCGATGCGTCCTGTCAGCTCCGAGAATCCACACTTGACGAACAACTGGCCGCACTGGTCATGGTTCAGCGCGAAGTGACCCTCATCCGGACAGAGAGGTGCCGTCGTGCTGATTTGTACCTATTCAGAGAGTTAATATCGTTTTATTGGTTTAAAAAATATATATATATGTATAGTATATATATATTTATTCTTGATAAGCATTTTTCGAATGCCGGGGCCACATTACGGATGTGTTAACAATGGATGTTACGTACCACATTCTGAAGCTTAGTCTCCTGTTCGAAGAAGTTGGTGGTCCTCTTCATGTCCTTGGCGCATTTGTCACCCTCCTGGGGCTTACCGCAACTGCAGGTCTTGTCCTGGTAGACAGTTCCGTTGGGACATTGGAACACCACTATGTTGAGATCGTTGCTATCCGCACTCTCGCTGCACTGGTAGAACATGCCGCACTTCTCCGGATGCTGACGGAATCCGGTCGGACAGACGTACACATTCTGTCCGGGTGTGGTGGATGGGCAAGGAGCGGTGGAGTTGCTGCCAGGAGTAGGATTCTCTGTGGTAGTACTGGTCGTTGGCTGGTTGGTCGAGGTTTCTTCTCCACTTGCGGTTGTGGATTCCGGTCTTGCAGTGGTTACAGGGGTTTCAGTAGTTGTTGTTGGGGATTCCGTGGTGGTTGTTGCAGGGCTAGTGCTTCCTGAAGTAGTGGTTTCTGTGCTTCCTAAAGTTGTTGTCTCGGTGGTTACAGTGGTAGTGGTTTCAGGAGTTCCTCCAGTGGTAGTGGTTTCTGGTGCTCCAGTGGTAGTAGTTTCAGGAACCCTCGATGTGCTTGTTTCAGGGCTTCCAGAGCTAGTTGAGCTTTCCGTTGAACCAGATTCTGTTGTAGTTCCTGGCGAAGAAGTCGTCTGTCCAGAAGAACAATTTCCGGAGACCTGATCGGCATAATTGCAGGTTTCGGTGGATGTGTCCCAAACAGTTCCGTTACCGCACTTAAAGGCGTACACCTGGTATTTGCCATTCTTGGCCGCATCTACACAGCGGTAATAGCGACTGCAGTCCTCTGGATCGGGGAAGAAACCCTCGGCGGAGCAGTAATAGTTCGGTTGTGGTTGAGGTTGAATAGTGGTGCTTGGTCCTTCCGTTGTGGTGCTTTCAGGGTTGTCCGTAGTTGTAGGTTGTTGAACAGCAGTAGTGGTGGTAATAGGTTCGGTAGGTCTTGTAGTTGTTGTGGTAGTTACTGTGGTTGTTGTAACGGGTTCAGTGGTTGTTATAGGTCCTGTGGTGGTTGTAATAGGTCCTGTGGTGGTTGTAATAGGTCCTGTAGTGGTTGTATCTGGTTCAACAGTGGTAGTGGGCTTATAGCCTGGAGTACTGGTTGTAGTTTCTATCGAGACAGGTGTTGTGGTTGGATTATAGCCGGGAATATTGGTAGTAGTAGGTTCCTGTGTAGTCGGTTTCTGCGGTTGTTCAGTGGTTGTTGGTTTAACGGGATATTCTGTGGTCGTCGGTTTTTGCGGTTGTTCTGTAGTTGTGGGTTTTTCGGGATATTCGGTTGTGGTGGGCTTCTGCGGTTTATCCGTTGAAGGTTCAGGTGTTGGTTTGGTCATGGGCTTTGTGACTGTTGTGGGTTCTTCCGTTGTTGTACTTCCCGGATCCTTCGACTCTTCAGCTGGAGTGGTGGTCTCGGGATCCTTTGTGGTCGGCGATTCGGTGGGCAGATTCGAGCACCTTGGAATGTTCTCCATATAGTCACAAGTCTGGACTTCTTCGTTCCATCCCGTGCCCTTGGGACACGTGAAATTGTACTTTCTGTACGAGGATCCAGCGCTGATGCATCGGTAGTATTTTCTACAATCTTCTGGATCGGCCATATAACCCTCTCCTGTGCATTCTGTTCCAGCTGGCAGAGGTTTCATTGTGGTTGTGGAAGACGGTGGCTGGATGGTGGTGGTATCCGAACTCGATGTGATTGTTGTGGTGTCAGATTCCGAGTTGCTTGTTGTTGTACTGGGTGGCAACGAAGTAGTAGTACTGGCTGGAATTTCGGTGGTCGTGGGTGGAGCACCCGTTGTAGTTGTAGGTGGATTTCCAGTAGTTGTAGTGGGTGGAAGTCCTGTGGTGGTGGGTGGTAAACCGGTTGTTGTGGAGGGTGGTGAACCTGTTGTTGTAGTGGGTGGTAAGCCTGTTGTCGTGGTGAGTGGTTGACCAGTTGTAGTAGTTGGTAAGTCTGTAGTGGTCGGACGTGTTGTGGTGGTTAGAGGTCCTTCGGTGGTTGACGTAGTTGTTGTTCCATTAGTCGTGGTCTCACAGGGAGGTTTTGTTGTTGGAGCTTCAGTGCCAGTGTTGCAATTGTTGAAATTGTGATTGCAGGTCTGTAGGTCCTGATCCCAAACAGTACCAGCACCGCATTGGAATGGAATAGCAGTGAAGCCATTCTTGTTATTCCTTACACAGCGATAGAACTTGGAGCAGTTGCTTGGGTCGGCCATGAAGCCCTCTGAGCTGCATGTGCCATTGGTATTGGATGACGGAGTAACAGCGGATGAGGTTGGGGAGGAAGTGGATGACGAAGGAGAGGAAGTAGTTGGTTGAGGAGGATTAGGAGAGTTCGTTGTAGATGAACCTGATGGCCTGGAGGTTTTAGATGAACCTGATGGTCTGGAGGTTGTAGATGAACCTGAAGGTCGAGAGGTGCCAGAAGTTGTGGGTGTAGATATTGTCGAGGAAGTAGTCGGAGGAGCAGAAGTCGGAGGTGGGGCAACTCCACCGCATTCCTTTACAGCCCAAGCATGGTTACAAGCCTGAAGTTGGGCATCCCAAACTGTGCCTGGTCCGCAGGTGAAGGCAATCATATTAAAGCCACCTCTATCGTTATCCACACAGCGATAGAATTTGGCGCACTCGTTGCGATCTCCAATAAATTGTCCATTGACTTTGCAGGTTTCGGAAGGATTTGGTTTGGAAGTAGTTGAGCTACTGCTGGAGGAGGATGAACTAGAGGATGATGAGCCTTGGTTGTTGTTGTTGCTTGAAGAGGATGAAGATGATGATGAAGACGTTGATCCTTGATTAGAAGAGCCACTGTTGGAAGATGACCCGGTATTAGAGGATGAGGAACCACTGTTTGAAGAGGAGCCTTGATTAGATGAGCCACTGTTGGAAGATGATGATCCATTGTTTGAGGAGGAGCCACTGTTTGAGGAGGAGCCTTGATTAGATGAGCCACTGTTGGATGATGAGGAACCACTGTTTGAAGAGGAGCCCGTATTCGAGGATGAGGAACCGCTGTTCGAGGAAGCGCCACTGTTATTTGATGAACTACTCGAAGATGAGCTGCTGCTGCTAGATGTAGTTCCGCCTTGGTTGACCACTTTTTTGCACTTAAGCGGGTTTGTCTGAATCTGATCGGGATGGTTGCAGCTGTTGGACTCTGGATCCCAGAGCGTGTTTGGGGGACAGGTAAACGATACCTTATTAAATCCACCCTTACCATTATCTACGCAGCGATAGAACTTTGAACAGTTTTCTTTGTCATCCAGGAAGGTTTCCTCACTCTCACATTTTTCGGCAGGCTTAAATGGTTTCTGGGTGGTAGATGACGAAGATCCTTCAGTATTTGACGATGCAGTCTGGTTAGAAGAGGACGACTGCTGGGAAGACGATGTTTGACTGGAAGAGGATTGGTTGGAAGATGATCCCTGATTGGATGAAGATCCTTGGTTGGAGGAAGACCCTTGGTTGGAAGAAGATCCTTGGTTGGACGAAGAACCCTGATTGGAAGAAGATCCTTGGTTGGACGAAGAACCCTGATTGGAAGAAGATCCTTGGTTGGACGAAGAACCCTGATTGGAAGAAGAACCTTGGTTGGATGACGAGCCCTGGTTGGAAGAGGAACCCTGGTTGGATGAAGATCCTTGGTTCGATGAAGATCCCTGGCTGGAGGAAGATCCCTGGTTGGATGACGAACCCTGATTGGAGGATGATCCCTGGTTGGAAGAAGATCCTTGGTTGGAGGAAGATCCCTGGTTGGATGACGAACCCTGGCTTGAGGATGAACCCTGGTTGGAGGATGATCCCTGGTTTGATGATGATCCTTGGTTGGAGGAAGATCCTTGGTTGGAAGAGGATCCCTGGTTGGTGGAAGATCCTTGGTTCGAGGATGTCCCCTGATTCGAAGAGGATCCCTGATTGGATGAGCTACCACTACCACTGGCCATTGCCCTGCACTGCTCCTTTTGCACATCCGTGGGATGGTTGCAGCCTTTAGTATCGGGATCCCAAACCGTTCCTGGTGAGCAATCAAACGGAACCGTATCGAAGCCACCATTGCCATTCTCTACGCAACGATAGAATCGGGCACAGTCTGTTCTGTCTGCCAAGTATGTTTCCGTATTCTGGCATTTACCATCAGGATTAGAGGGCTTGGAAGTCGTCGAATTATTGCTAGATGAATTGTTGTTGGAACTCGATGAGCTTTGATTGTTGGATGTGGACGATGAAGATGAGCTTTGATTGGAAGTCTGATTGTTTGATGAGCCTTGGTTGCTGGATGAACCTTGATTGTTTGATGAGCTCTGGTTGCTAGAAGATCCTTGATTGCTGGACGAACCTTGACTACTGGACGAGCCTTGATTGCTAGAGGAGCCTTGATTGCTAGAGGAGCCCTGATTGCTGGAGGAGCCTTGATTGCTAGAAGACCCTTGATTGCTGGACGAGCCTTGGTTGCTGGACGAGCCTTGATTACTGGAGGAGCCTTGATTGCTTGAGGAACCTTGATTGCTGGACGATCCCTGGTTACTAGAAGATTGATTGCTAGATGAGCTCTGGTTGCTAGAAGATTGATTGCTAGAGCCTTGATTGCCGGAAGATTGATTGCTGTTGCTGGAAGAGCTTCCACTTGTTTGCTGGCCAGAGTTGTTGCTTCCACTGGACGATCCTGTTTGTATGTTGCATTTCTTCTTCTGATCTTCTGTGGGCAGATCGCAGACTTTATCTTCTTGGTTCCAGACAGTGCCGGGTCCGCAGGTGAATGGCACCTGCTCTAGTTTTCCATCTTTATCTTGGCGACATCTGTAGAATTTAGCGCAGTCTTCTTTGTCGGGGATATAAGTGTTTTCATCTTCGCATTCGGTGGGTATGGGTTTGTTGGATCCACTGGCGGTTTGATTGCCTGAAGAGCTCTGATTGCTGTTGGAACTTTGATTACTATTCGAAGACTGATTACTGCTAGAGCTCTGGTTGCTGCCAGAACTTTGATTGTTGTTCGAGGACTGGTGGCTGCCAGAACTTTGGTTGCTTCCTGAACTTTGATTGCTGCTCGAGCTTTGGTTGCTGCCGGAATTTTGAGAGCTTTGGTTCTGGTTGCTGCTGGAGTTCTGATTGTTGTTCGAAGATTGGTTGCTTCCTGAGCTTTGGTTCTGGTTACTGCTGGCGGATTGATTGCTGCCGGAGTTTTGGGAGCTTGAACCTTGATTGCTGCTGGAGCTCGTGCTGGACTCCTGGTTGTTGCTAGTTTCTGAGCTGGATTCCTGGTTGTTGCTAGAAGATGAGCTGGATTCCTGATTGTTGCTAGAAGACGAATTCGACTCCTGGTTGTTGCTAGACGTAGAGCTGGACTGCTGATTGCTGCTCGATGTAGAGGACTCCTGAGTCGAACTAGAGCTAGATGACGAGCTGGAACTCTCGGTGGAATTCGATGAACTAGTGGACGAGCTCTGCTGGCTGCTTGAGGTCGAGTTCTGGTAGCTGGACTGCGAGGACTGTGTTGACGTTTGGCCCGCGTAATAGCCATCGTTCTGTGGCACCGCCTGATTGCGGCAACCGCCATTGGCACGTACGTCAAACATGTGGTTGCAGGACTGCAGGGATTCGTCCCACGCCGTGCCATCGGAGCACCGGAAGCCGATTTTGTTATAGCCCCGGCCATTCGAGATGCAGCGATAGAACACGGTGCAGTCGCTGGGATCGTTCATGAAGCCATCATCCCGGCACACTACTCCGTCTGCCTCCTCTGAAACAACAGCTCGCAGGGATGATGAGCTGGAAAAGGATATGACGGAGACACCGCTGAGACCTGCCAGGCCATAATTCGTGGGCAGCCGATGGGCGGACGCGTAGCTACGCAGCTCATGGGCCGCAGGTGTGACGGCCAGGTTAAGCATCGCATTATGGTCATCCTGTCCGTAGTCGTCCTGTTCCCACCGCTCCATGCTGCCTCCGTCCACCTCGTTGGCCTGGTCCACGCACTCGTCCCGTCCGGCCATCGCCGGTGGCAGACACATTCGCAGCGAACGCGAAAAGACCGCGTCCTCGGGACAGGCCAGCAGATAGGGTCGGATGTATTGGCCCGACCGCCGCTCGCAGCGGTAATAAATCCGGCAATCGTAGTCGTCCGCAAACAGACCCTCTCCCGGACAGTAAAAGGCCACCTCGGCGTGGTCCATTGCCGATGGAATGTCTGCAATAAAAACAAATGAAGACGCCTTTAGTTTTTCCGGACCTTAAACTCGCAGCAACCTAATTAATACGATTGGAATGGGTTTAAAACTGCTTCACTATTTTATTTGACTGCACACTTAAACTTGAAAAACTGAAACGATGATACACCTTTAAATCATTTCATAAGTAACGTGTATTGTCAGCAGTGTGTAAACGAAGTTACTCAATGTAATCATTGTTTAAAAATAAATCTTCATAGAATAAAAACGTATTATGTTTACATCATGTTTTAATGTGATAAAAAGAAAAAACCCTAGAAATTTCCACATTTATTGTGTTTAATTGTTAAATACAAAATGGATTTGGTATTTCAACTTTTTTTGTTTTACAAATAGTTTTTACACCTCTTGGGAAAATTGAATGAGTTAGTCTTAATATTCCTTCAATAAAGGACATAAAAAGCGTAAACATGCACTTGTGTCCTTTTTCCTAATTTGTTTTCGAGTTGGAGAGTATCAATGTACGAATTAGCATATTTTTTTTATGGCCAGGCAATTTAAAATCGCCCGCTGGAACAAACCATTGAACGGAAACTTCCTGTCACAAATTCTCTCGCCTGCATATATATTACATATATATAGTATAGTGCATGTATGTCGAACACATCTATCTACATATATTTTGCTCAATTTCGTTTGACATTTTCCCCGCTCGTCTTTCGTTTTTCGTTGCGGGATTTTTCGCGCTGTCAAAATAAAATTGATAATTTATTGTCATTCAATGTGCGAGAGTCCTGTTTTTCAATTTTTTTATTTGTTTTTCTTGTTGTTTGGTTGTGGCATACGTAGACTTTGCCTTTCCAATAAATTTAAATGCATTTATGGCCGTTACAGCGGAACAAATTCATTTTCAAAATGAATTGTGAGTGTGTGTTTTTCTTTGGTGCTGTTTTTATCCAGCTTTACAGTTTTTTTTAAGTATTGGTAATAAAGGGGGCCAGCAGGCTGTGAACATGGTAAATGCGCGGCTAAAAATTAGACTTGGTCTAGGCATAAATTCAAATCAGTCACTGCCTAATATATTTGGATTCGTTTTTGCCCTCCCCTCAGGGTTTTTTTTTTTGAGTTTGTGAGCCTTGTCCAATGGTTTATGGTTGAAATGGCCGGAGGCCATATATTTCTTATGAAAATTGCCAAATTTAATGGCCATAAAATTTAATTATACCAAATGTGGTTACGCAGCACAGAGGAGAATGTTTATTTGGACAAAAGTGTGTCAGTTTGATAGAAACTTTCAATGGTTGGTGAAAAGGAATAAATGTCCCAAAATGTTTTTAAGATATTTAAATTATAAATACATTTTTAAAAGAAAATTTAGTTAAGAGAAGAAAGTTTTTATATTGAATGAAAATCATCATATCAAATCAATCAAATAGTCATAAAAATGTGAAAAAAATCTACCCAAAAATCGAAACCAAATTAATGATGCTCTTAGGGAACTTTGTCACAAGCATTTTGAGGTATACCAATTCAAAATCTGACATCATTTAGAAAAGTTATAGACAAATACTTTACAAGAATTAAGAAGTATTTCAAAAAGAAAACGAAACTGTTAGTCGGTGAATGAAATATTATTTTCGTTTTAATCATAAAAAGCAAAATATCACTTGAATTCTTAATGACCCCAAGTATTTACACGCCCATTTGCACCAATGGGAAAGCGCTTAAATTTTAAATGAAACCTCCTGCACGGCGCAACCGAAAATCCAGTAAACTAATTTAATAGAACGCCTCACAGCACACGGCTTGGCTCGCTGTTCGGTGCTCGCTGTTCGTTGGCAAACAAACATAAAGTTTCAATTTGTACACGAAAGCCCAAAAATGCTAAACCCATTACACAGATGGCGGCAAAGGATGGGGATGGGGATGGAAATGTGTGTGGCCGAGACAGAAGGAGTCCTTGCCGGTGTCCTCCAGGGTTGAGGGAAAATTGACCGTTTTACGATTTTAATTATATATGATGTGTACTTTAGAACTTATGCAAAATGAAACGAAAGGAGAGCGCGCCACTGCGACCGCAAACTTATGCGTTCCCCCACCGAAACCAAACCCTCAGCAAATATATATATATATATGTAGATACCATATATATATGTATGTTCGCTGGCATCTGCCAACCGGGAGCAGGCGTAACATGGTTAGCCACAATCTGACCGCAGAGCATGGCCGCAAATAGTTTCGGATATGCCGTTGCCATTGCCCCCAGAAACACCCATTAAAACGCCCAAAAACAGCCACCGAAATTCCCACTACCGCCACCTCGTTGCATTAAAATTTCAATTTTCAACATTTAAGTACGTTACGGTTTACGAAAATTTAGTTATAAAAGCATGCATAAGTACACGAATACTGTGTGCAATTTCCCCCTTCCCCTAATATTGTATTTTTATTTCCCCCCAAACGTAGGCATAATTTTCGTGGTGCCGCCAGCTGGCAAAAGTGACAAATTGTGATTTCTATTTTTCACTCTATTTTTCCTTGATAATTAAATATTTATTGAGCGGCTGGTTTGTGCGGTTTAATGTTTCGCAGCCCAACCCACAGTTGGCTGTCATTTAGTTTGCTTCGTTGCGCAGTGATGTCTGTTATTTACATTTTCATTTGATAAATAGAAATCTCTTCAGTTTCGTTATTTTTCTACATTTTATAGTTGTTTGTTTTGGGGGTTGTGCAAAACAGCAACTTGGGACACTTAAGCGTTACATTGTCGCTCTGGGCAGTTTTCGGTGTGTGCTATTCGGTGGGTTATTTTGTGACAGGAGGTCTGAGCAAATGCACCTTAATTAGTCATTAAAAGTTTCGTCATTATATTTTGTGCCTGATTTTGTTTTCCTTTTTTTGATACTGCCACCGCAGGGAATTTGTAATTAAACTTGCCCAGATAGTGAATTAAAGGTGTAAAAAGGAAAGTTAATGGAAATTAAAGTCTTTTAAAGCTAAACAATATATTAAAGCAAGAATGTAAACAAATTTTGCGAGCTAAGTTTCTCGATTTAAAAATAGTTGAGTTTTTTTTTTCAATGAATTTCTTGTCATAAATCGATTTGTATGTTTAAGTGTGTTTTCTGTTTTCCTATTGAAACTTTAAACTTTATGATCTGCTTTTCAAACTCTAGCTGCTTTATTCTATTACTTGAAGTAGAGAGTGCCATAAAAAAGACCAATACAAATGTCAGCTTCAGCTTGACATTAGTCGCCTGTCGCATCCTTTAATATCCTTCATTCCGGGTCTGTTTTTCGCCATCTGCCTCTATAGCTATTTTTATCCTACTCCATCTGGAAAATTCCCCGAGGGCCATGTAGTTGCAAGTTGTAAATATGATATTTGGATTTTTGAGCTTTCGCCCATCGTCGGGTTGGCAACTCGGTAATTTCATTTGCCTCTGGTGTCATTTTGCGCCTGTGCCTTCACGTTGGAACGAGCGAATGGACGAACGTGTTGGCCGGATAGCCTAGAATCCGGATAGTGGGGATCCGTATTTTCGTTTCAAGTGCATGTTTATGCCACGCCCATTTCATTCTGTTCCGCCTGGTCCACTCAAATTTCATGGTGGCAAATGACCAGCTACAGGAAATTCAATTTATTATGCAGCTTGACAGTTTTTAGCCATTCTCTCTCTAAGATGACAGCTGTTTCTACCGCTCCATCTCTTACACTGAAAAAATATTAACTTCAAAACCAATACAACAAGTAACAAGTTCAAATCAAAATAATAAATTGATTACAAAAATCCATGTGCTTTCCATTTTAATAATAACTCAGAAAAAAGTGTATGACAAACGACACCATTTAAATTTTAACTTATTTAAATTGCTTCTACAGCAGTTTTTATTTTTGCCGGAGAAACCAGAATTTGTTTCATTTATGATACTTGGGTTCGACACTTTTTCTATATTCAATTTTTTTTCTGTGCATTCTTGCTCCTTTTTTGATCCTGTTCTGCTGCTTTTTGACAGCTCCAGTAGATAAAAATAAAGAAACAGAAAATAAAAATGAGTGAACTCCTCGCTAATTCTGGCATCTGTCGGGCTTCATTTTGGAGTCTCCTTTAATATTTTTTTCTATTCCTTCACCGATTTCGAATGCGATGCGCCAGATGCATTTGAATTTCGCGCTGCGCTGCGCTCGAGCAGATTTTAATATTGGCGAGCGTCCTTGAGGGCATTGATTGTTCCCTTGGATTTTCGCTTTGGCCAGCAGTTCCAGTCATTACTCATACGCAGCGTGTGACACAATCGCCACTATGCATTATTCATGGCGATGCGGCCACGCTGGATAAAGTTGTCGGAAAAGCTGCCGACAGCTGGCAGCAAAATGTTAAATATTTAAATGCCTTTGCCACCCGAAAACCCAAACCCTGTCCCAGAAAACCAGCTCACTGGGAATTGCCTTTAACTAGGAGCAATTAATTTGAATTTGAACTATTTAGAGGCATCCGCACTTATCGCAAGAAGGAGGCATGGCAAATGGTTGAGAAGCGGTGGGAGGAGTTCCAGGACCTGCCATCCTGCCGGTAAATTAAGCATAAAGCGCTTTTAGTTACAATCACGTTCGTCTCAATTAAACTACATTAAATTCAATTAGCAGGCAACAGGAACACGAAATGAAAGCAACATTGTCATTACGGTTTCAAGCGAAGGCGTTCAAGGTACACTTAGAAAAATCGGTCTTACGAAAACTTAACAATTAAATATAAATATGAATCAATGAAAACATTTTATTTTATGGTGTTTAAGATAGAAAGATTTATTATTATTAGTTCTTATTTAATTATTAAAATTAAAATCAGTATAAAAATATAAATTGAGAAAATTTGTTCAGATATTGTACAATTGTACAATATAATTTTAGTAGAAGAGATATCTAGTGACAGTTACCAAATATTAAAGTAACTCATAACATTATTGTAAGTGCATAAGCGATAAGAGGTAGGTCTTCTAGCCAGGAGCAAAGGACTCA